TGAAATCAGCCAAACGCAACCAGACTCTCTAGTCTTACCATCACACCTTTTCAGTTTTAATTCCAAGAAAGAAATATTTTATTCCTCTCACCTCTATAACACAGAAGCCTTGAGTATCCCCTGAATCATCAGGGGTTTAGAGTGAAAAGGAGAAAATTATAAGTATATAAAGCCCTGCCCAGTTGGAACATCACTGTCCAAAAGAGGAAATAGACAAGAGAACATGTAATTATAAGTCAACATGATAAACCCAATAACAGAAATGTGGTACATAGTACAGGGATTCACCCAGGGAAGAGTATAAGGACCATATGAGCAGGGATTATGTTTGATTCCTATCTCTATATCCAGCACCTAACAAAGAGTCTGGTATTTAATAGATTCAACAAATCAGTTAAATGAATGAGATTAATTCTGCCTTAAAGATGAGAAACAAGGAAGTCTTCCTAAATTGGGTGTAATCTGGGTTTTGAAATTCAAATAGCTTAGAAGAAGAAAAGGACAAAGAAAAAAAATTGAAAAAAAAAAAAAAAAAAAAGCCAAATAGGCAGATAAAAAAAGTTAAGAAAATGAATGACAGGCATGGGGAACAGTGTGAGTGAAACAGCATGCCATGTTTTAGCAAACTGCAAATAGTTCAGATTGCATCAGCGTAAAGTGTAAATTGAAGAGCAGCTGGAAATGGAGCTATATTAGTGAAGAATTATATACAAGGGCTTCTTTGAAAAACAATGAACCTTACAAAAAAACTTAATCATACTTTCTTGAATACTTTCTAAAACATGTTTCAGGATGTCTAGACCCTTTCTTCAAAGGCCTTTGATATTTTTAAAAGGTAATTCGAATTATTGATGAAATATTTTCGTTTTAACATTTATTATCTTCTCTAACATTTGAGATTTATGTCAGATTTTTAATATTTTGTATAACTTATAAACATTGCGGTCCTTTGTGTAACCAATGATGATTTTCCCTTTTCAAATTAAAAAGATTTATAGGACTGTATTTGCATTTATGACGTGAGATAGATGTTTATTAAATAGTATGACAACATACTTCAAGCCAAGTTTTATATGGAAGCCCACTATGTAAGTAGATATGGTCCATGGGTATCCACTCCCTACACTTATGGGTCTACTAGGGTACTCTGCAGATTCCTCCAGGTTCAACAGTCAAGGGTTTAGTGGAAAGAGCCAAGAGGCCTGAGTTCAATATTTACAGTTAGTGACTGGATTGTGGGTGTCTCCTTTTTCTTTCTCATCGTCTAAATAGAGGGACTCTCTGGGTGCAGTGGCTCACGCCTGTAATCCCAGCACTTTGGGAGGTCAAAGTGGGCAGATCACTTGAGGTCAGGGGTTCGAGACCAGCCTGGCCAACATGTAAAACCCTGTCTCTACTAAAAATACTAAAAAAAAATTAGCCCAGCGTGGTGGCAGGCACCTGTAATCCTAGCTATTTGGGAGGCTGAGGCAGGAGAATTGCTTGAACCTGGGAGGTGGAGGTTGCAGTGAGCCAAGGTTGCACCACTGCACTCCAGTCTGGGCGACAGCAAGACTCTGTCTCAAATAAATAAATACAGTAAATAGAGGGACTTAGTTAAATGACTTCTAAAGTCCCTTTTAACTCTAAGTCTGTGGTTTTATAAATCTGTAGCTATAGTTTATGTGATGCTGGGGCTTTGAACTGGAATGTAACCCCCCAGTTATAGCTACATTTTCCAGGACTACATCTAAGTGAAATCAGGAGCAGTCTATATTGTATTTTTCTAAAAAACTTAAGTTGTTCTTTTTTTTCATGTTAAATTTAAGATTTTGGTAGAATAGGTGGAACTATCTCACAGGTAATTTGAAGTTTGAGTCTAAAACTGAGGAGAGAAGTCAGGACTAGGGATAGATTTGGGGTTATCCATACAGGTGACTGTTAAACGTGGAAGTAAATGAGGTTATTTAGGGGGCAGAAGAGAAGGGAGTAAACAATCAAGAGTAGAAGGGGTGGAGGAATGGAGGAAGATATGGAACTCTACAAGGACATGGAAAAGGAATAAGGAAAGTAGGGAAGAAATTGAATAGAGTATGTCCTAGTACTAAGGAAAGAGTTTTCAGAAATGAAAGGAACTTTACTGAGAGAACCAGATAGAAATAGCCCACCATGTGGTGTTAGCATTCACTGCCAAATGAAGATGTTGGTCATTAAGATAAAGGTTATCTGAAAAGACAGTTTAAGCAATTGGGGGCATGCAAATTGGTGTACAAAAAGAAAACTTTTGCAAGTTCCAGGTTTTGGTTTTTTTTTTAAAGGTCATGCTAAGTATTGAAGGGGAATAAGTTTATATGGTTTGATACCTACACACATTAATCAGAGTGTGGTGGTATGGTGAATGGAGAGCACAGAACTCAGAATTCTGGGTTCTAGTACACACTCTCTATTATTTTAACTGTGCAACCATCCAGTCACCTAACAGGGTGGAGATACTTGTAAACAGATAAATTATAATCAGATTGCTAATTGCTGTACTCAATATGATCAGAACTTCTTGGGCAAATGATTTAAGCCTTCTTGGTTTCTTCACCTGTAAAATTAAATTGTTAAGAAAAATTTGTTTTAGGCCAGACACAAGGTCTCATGCCTGTAATCCTAGCACTTTGGAAGGCCAAGGCAGGTGAATTACCTAAGGTTGGGAGTTTGAGACCAGTCTGGGCAACATGGTGAAACCCCGTCTCCACTAAAAATACAGAAATTGGTCGGGCGTGGTGGCAGGTCCCTGTAATCCCAGCTACTAGGGAGGCAGAGACAGGAGAATTGCTTGAACCCAGGAGGCGGAGGTTGCAGTGAGCCGAGATCACACCACTGCACTCCAGCCTGGGTGGCAGGGTGAGACCCTGTCTCAAAAAAATAATAAATAAATAAATTTTGTTTTAAAGCTCATAATCTATGTAGTACCTCTTAATGCAGTTCTGGATTGTTACAATGCTGTTTGCCTTTAAAATGTGTATGAATGCATACATATATATGTATACATATATGTACTTTTTTTTTTTTTTTTTTTTTTGGTGAGAGGGAGTCTGGCGCTGTCGCCCAGGCTGGAGTGCAGTGGCCGGATCTCAGCTCACTGCAAGCTCCGCCTCTCGGGTTTGCGCCATTCTCCTGCCTCAGCCTCCCGAGTAGCTGGGACTACAGGCGCCCGCCACCTCGCCCGGCTATATTTTTGTATTTTTTAGTAGAGACGGGATTTCACCATGTTAGCCAGGATGGTCTCGATCTCCTGACCTCGTGATCCGCCCATCTCGGCCTCCCAAAGTGCTGGGATTACAGGCTGGAGCCACCGTGCCCGGCCATATATGTACTTTTTAAGAATTATTATATAGGATATTATCTTTTATTGTTGTTTTGAGACAGGGTCTCCCTCTGTTGGCCAGGCTGGAGTACAGTGGTGTAATCATAGCTCACTGCAGCCCTGGCATCCTGGATTTAAGCGATCCTTCCACCTCAGTCTCTGGAGTAGGTGGGGACTACTACAGGCATGTGCCAGCCTACTGGGCTTTTTTTTTTTTTTTTTTTTTTTTTGGTAGAGACAGGTTTTCCCTGTGTTGCCTAGGCTGGTCCTGAACTCCTGGCCTTAACTGTTCCTCATTGGTCAGCCTCAAAGTGTTAGGATTACAGGCATTAGCTACCACTCCCAGTCTAGTACACTGTTTATAAAATTTTCCCTGTACACTGAGGCTGTCACACCCTCTCAGTTATTGAAGTGTAGTAGAACAGGCCATATTGTGTGCTCTGAGCCAGTGAGTACTGTGCACTTTCATCCAGTAAGTGCCCTACCCACTTGTTGGAGAGTTGAGCATGTTTTGGAACATGTTAGTGTTTCTCTCCTGGTACTGTCTTTTCTTGCCATTTATTTAGTAAGGAACAAAGGGATGCAAGTAAAGACTATCATGCTGTTTATTAACATGCAAGCTTTACAGAGGCCACTGGCCTGAGATTCAACTGAAGAAATGGTCAAGGCTGCTTTCCAGTGTGGACTCTTAAGTAAAACTTTTAATTTAAAAAAAAAAAAATTAAAGAAATGATTGAGGAGAAAGAAGGTAAAGATTATTAGCCCACCAATATTCCTAAAGTATAGACAGTCACAAATTTTTTGTCCTTTGATATAGGGTGACTTTGTGTTCAAAATATTATTTAAATTTTTCAAGCTTGTAATATACGTGCCCTGCATAGTCCTTGCTGCCATAGATACACCGGTGAACTTGATGAGACATGCTCTTCCTGGATTTTATCATTTATTAGGAATGGTAAAATTAAACAACAGTCAGAGGCCCATAGGAGTTCAGTTTTGCCCAAGCAGAATGTTGAATAAATGTTCTAACTGGTTCCTGGCAAAAATCATATAAACTGTATCTTTTATCATCACCTCGGCCTCTCCCTTTCCCCATTTCTGCAATGTATTGTAACCACAGTATGAGAAAAAACATGCTGAAATTATTTAGTTAGGTAAACTGGATCTCCAGGAACATATAACTTTGTGACTGGGAAAAAGGGTTGAGAACTCCTGACTTCTAGGTCAGTATCATTCAAATATGTGCTTGCAAGCCAGACCACATTTTTAAGTACAAACCCACTTTTTTTTTTTTTTTTTTTGAGACACAGTCTTGCTCTATCGCCCAGGCTGGAGTGCAGTGGCACGATCTTGGCTCACTGCAGCCTCTGCCTCCTGGGTTCCAGCAATTCTCCTGCTTCAGCCTCTTGGATAGCTGGGATTACAGGTGCACGCCACCATACCTGGGTAGTTTTTGTATTTTTAGTGGAGATGGGGGTTCACCATGTTGGCCAGGCTGGTCCCAAACTCCTGACCTCAGGTGATCTGTCTGCCTCAGTCTCCCAGAGTGCTGGGATTACAGGCATGAGCCACCGTGCCTGGCCACAAACCCACATTTTTTAAAGTTTTAAAAATTTGTTTAATGATATGGAACCCACATTTTAATTACTTTGCTTTTTGTTTATAGGTCCAGGGGCAAGTTCATCCTACTCTCGAGTCTAATGATGATGCTCTTCAGTATGTTGAAGAATTAATTTTGCAATTATTAAATATGCTATGCCAAGCTCAGCCCCGAAGTGCTTCAGATGTAGAGGTATGATAAATGTTGTCTTGTATTTACTTTATATCTAATTTGTGTGTTGGTTGTAATGTCAGTGAAGGGAGAAAGAATTTGCTCCACATATATATATGGTATATAAGAAAATGCAGCCTGGATTTTACTCTTTACAGGTTGAGTATCCCTTATCCAGAATGCTTGGGAACAGAAGTGTTTTAGATTTTGAGGTTTTTTTTTTTTTTTTTTTGGATTTTTGGAATATTTGCTGTATACTTACTGACTGAGCATCCCAAATCAAAAAACCCAAACTCTGAAGTGTTCCAGTGAGCATCATGTCAGCATCTAGAAGTTTTGAATTTTGGCCTGATGTGGTGGCTCAAGCCTGTAATCCGAGCACTTTGGGAGGCCAAAGCGGAAGGATCACTTGAGCCCAGGAGTTTGAGACCAGCCTGGGAAACAAAGTGAGACCCCATCTCTAAAAAAAAATTTGTTTTTAATTAGCTAGGCATGGTGGCATGTGCCAGTCTGTAGTCCCAGCTACTCAGGAGGCTGAGACACAAGGATCACTTGAGCCCAGGAGATGGAAGCTCCAGTAAACCCTGAATGAAACAGTGGAACCCTGTCTCAAAAAAAAAAAAAAAAAAAAAAAGATAAAAGTTTCAGATTTTGGATTTTTGGATTAGGGATAATCAGCCTGTATTGCATATATGATAGTTTGTATATATTCCAGCTGTTAAACTATTCATTTTTTGTTTGTAAGCTAAACCGAACAATTTCTTGATGATAGAATGATATACCCATACTTTTAGGAGTGGCATATGTCCGAGTATTTCTTTTATTAAAGCCAGCTAACATTCCGAAAACATTTCTGTTAATGTTTTGATCTTCAGTTGTTACATGTATTTTAAGTGGTAAGTGAATTATTTCCTAGCAATTGAGAGAGAGAGAATCATCTAAACACCTAGGAAGGAGGTTCTGTAATCTCTTAAAAAGATGATATGGCCCCTGTCTTTTTAGGGCTTATGATTTAATGGAGATACAGATAGATATGTAGTCAGTAACATAAAGTGATATTCTGTGAGTAAAGAGTATATGGGAAACCATGAAAGGGGCAACTGATAGAGGCTTTGGGGTTTGGGATAGCTTCCAAGAAGATATATCTAAACTGAGTTCAGAAGGAGTCGAAAGTTGGAGAGAAGAAAAAGGTTTGAAGTACCAACTGTAGAAAATGGGAGATACAGCTAGAAATAGAAAGAGTTCTCTGGCAATGATGAAGGACCATTTGACTTTAATGACTTCAAGTGTACAGTAGTTCAAATCTTTGAGTTTCTGTGACTTTGCTTTTGCAGCACTCAAGTGTGAGCACAAAAAAAAGATAGTTGGACTGAATGGTGTTTCCTCATGGATGTATAGCAGCAGAACAGTAGGGCAAGGGAATTGTAAAAACTGGTAATAGCAGTGCTTTGCAACCTTTTCAGGACACAACACACATAGAATGTAATGTTTTTATGGCACACAGTGATTTGGTAGGAAGTAATCTCTAGCAACCTCAGGCCTTGTCCTGCTCCCCTGACGCTGAGGAATTGATAGACGGGCACATCCAATGAGAAACTGCTGAGAAGAGCATCACTGAATCAAAATTGGATAAGGAAAAAAGTGAAATGTGATAATAGCTGATTGGTTTGCTATATAGTATTATGCACTAGTCTGAATACTTTCATGCTTTGTATTTCATTTAAACCTTGTAATAATCCCATCAAGATGGTATTGTTTTTTTCCCTACTAGAATGTAAGCTCCAGGGATTTTTTTTTTTTTTTTTTTTTTTTTTTTTTTTTTTACTTGTTCACTGTTGAATCACCAGCACCGAGAACAATATCTGGCACAGAGAAGACACTCAGAAATATAAGTTGAATGAATGAATGTGGAAACTGAAGCACAGAGAGGTTGAATAACCTGCCCAAGGTCATAGTTATTAAGTAGTGAAGCCAAGACTTTTAACCAGAAAGTCTAGCTTTTTGAGCATGCATTCTAATACCAGGTAGGAGAGGGCACATATAATGGAAAAACATGGAGAGAACAGAGTACTAGAGTTCTCAGTAAGGTCAGAGAACTGATAATATTAGGACATCTGAAAGAGATAAATAGAATAGATTGAGATGAGAGAAAGAGTTGTTTGAATGTAAGATTTCATTAAGTAACATAGTTACAAAGCAGGATGTGGCTAGACCAGGGGTGAAGGTCCCCAAGATGAGGTGTTTATGGAATTAAGAGGCCAGGGTATTTTGTGTGTCCCTAATGTAAACCATAAAGTTGGACAGAATGGTAGCAGGACTTTACATGAGAATGGAGGAGTGATGTTAATACCTCTTAATACCACCACATGTTAAATTCATGTTAGGTTTCAACATGAATTTGGGAGGGACACAAACATTTGGACCATAGCAAATGGTGTCTTATATTCTTTTATCAGGAAATAATTTTCCATTTTCCCATTCACTAGGATTCAGTATTTCTTTAATACACTTACAAAACTTTCTATTAAAATAACAAGGTTCCTAAATTTAGCAAGCCCTAAGTATGTTTTGTGATGAGTCATAAAATATTTTTCTTAGGTTTTGAGGGTCACATAAGAAAAATGTATTTAGAGGCTGGGCGTAGTGGCCCACACCTGTAATCCCAGCACTTTGGAAGGCCGAAGCAGGCAGATAACCTAAGGTTGGGAGTTTGAGAACAGCCTGGCCAACATGGTGAAAACCCATCTCTACTAAAAGAAAAAAAAAATTACAAAAAATTAGCTGGGCGTGGTGGCAGGCACCTGTAATCCCAACTCCTCAGGAGGCTGAGGCAGGAGAACTGCTTGAACCCGGGAGGCAGAAGTTGCAGTGAGCCAAGATTGCACCATTGTGGGAGGCAGAAGTTGCAGTGAGCCAAGATTGCACCATTGTGGGAGGCAGAAGTTGCAGTGAGCCAAGATTGCACCATTGTACTCCAGCCTGGGTGACAGAGCAAGATCCATCTCAAAAAAAAAAAAAAAATGTATTTTAAAAATAGATCAATCTGAATTAGCAGAATATACACATTTAATAATCTTTCTAAAGAATACACTTCATAATGGTTCTCAGAGGCTGTATTGATTGGAGAGAAAAGGAATTGGGGAAGATTCATTCAAAGAATACATATTTACAGTTAGGAGGAATAAGTTCAAGAGATACTATTGTACAGCATGGTGACTATAGTTAATGATGGTATATTGTATTCTTGAAAAAGCTAACAGTGGATATTGATTGTTCTCACCACAAAAATAACTATGTGAGGTAATGCATTTGTTAATTAGCTAGATTTAGCCATTCCACAGTGTATATGTACTTCCAAGCATCATCATGTTGTACATGATATACATGTACAGTCAATGTAAGGAATAAATAAATTTGGCTGGTAATTTGGTGAAATTACAGGTTCACACCTGTAATCCCAGCACTTTGGGAGGCCAACGGGGGCAGATTGCCTGAGCCCAAGAGTTCAGGACCAGCCTGGGCAACGTGGCAAAACCCTGTCTCTACTAAACATACAAAAAATTAGCTGGCTATGAGGGTACATGCCTGTGGTCCTAGCCACCTGAGAGGTTGGGGTGGGAGGATTGCCTGAGCCCAGGAGGTTGATGCTGCAGTAAGCTGTGATCGTGCCACTGCACTCCTGACAGAGTGAGACTCAGAGTGAGGAAAAAAAAAGTTTGAAAAAAAAAAAAGCTTAAAAAATACACTTTGCTTTAAAGTATAAGCATAATTCAAAGTATGGTAGCAATTACTACTTAATTTGGTAGCTCCTAGGGGATATGTCTAAGAGTGATTTTTAGTTGCCCTATAGTTTTAGGAAAATAGGTGCTTCAAAAGTGCTTGAAAACAGATGGATTGTGCATACATATTTTGCTGATGGTAATTAAAAAGTTTTGGTAAATTGTACTACAGATTATCACAAATTGTATCATAGTCCAAATGAGTGGAATTTTGTTTTATTGATGTAGCCAGTAATCACTAATCTGTACTGCCAATATATTAGTATTTACTGTCAGGCAGTGTTGCAGATGAATGAGGGAGTAGAGTCGTGACTCAGTTTCTGTGGGGGATTGGTTGCAGGCTGCTGCCTGAAGATACCAAAATCCGTGGATGCTCAAGTCCCTTATATTAAGTGGCATAGTATTTGCATATAACTAATGAACACCCTCCCATATGCTTTAAATCATCTCTAGAATACTTACAATACCTTATACAAAGTAAGTGTTGCGAAGTGTAGTGGCTTGCGCCTGTACTCCCACCTACTCAGGAGGCTGAGGTGGGAGGATCACTTGAGCCCAAGAGTTCAAGGCTACAGTAAGCTATGATCGTGCCAGTGCACTTCAGTCTGGGTGACAGAGTGAAACCCTAACTCTTAAAAAAAAAAATCGAATTATATGTAAATAGTTATTACATTGTATTTTAAATTTTGTATTTTTAAAATTTTTTTTAATATTTTTGATCTGCGGTTGGTTGAATCCACAGATGCAGAACCATGGATATGGAAGGCCCACTGTATTATATATATTTTAATGCTTTGGGAATGCAGAAGAAGGGTATATATTATTTGGCTCTGTTGATTCCAATTAATTCAAATGTTAAAAGATAGTATAAAAATTGCTCCAATCTGGTTTATTTTTCCCTCTTTTATAATAAGTATAATTTTCTGTATTTAAACTTTGAAAAAATAGAGGCAAAAGCTAATATTTTTTTCCTGTGTTATGACCCTAGTAAAGTATATTCTCTAATTTCTTAGGTCTTGTCCTTTCATAATTGTACTTGTTCTTTACTTGACTAGACTGATTTCCTTTGTTATGCTTTCCCTTTCTGGTGTATACGTACCTATATTTAACCAGCTTTGATTTCTTAGGACACTGATACATTTTTCTTTTCCTCATTCATCTCAGGCTTTTTTTTTTTTTTTTTTTTTTTAACTCCTTTATCTTAGACTTTTTCTTGTCATTAGCCCTTCATCGTAAAATGTCAAATGTCTGATTTCTTTTTCCATTCATTTTTTTTCTTTAGCTTTTTTCCCTTGGAATCCTAAAGAGTCCTTGTAATTTCTTTCTTTCTTTTCTTTTCTTTTTTTTTCTTTCTTTTCTTTTCTTTTTGTGAGACAGAGACTCGCTGTGTCACCCAGGCTGGAGTGCAGTGGTATGATCTCAGCTCACTGCAACTTCTGTCTCCCAGGTTCAAGCGATTATCGTGCCTCAGCCTCCTGAGTAGCTGAGACTACAAGCATGCACCACCATGCCTGGCTAATTTTTGTATTTTTAGTAAAGACAGGTTTTCACCATATTGGCCAGGCTGGTCTTGAACTCCTGACCTCAAGCAATCTGCCCACCTCAGCCTCCCAAAGTGCTAGGATTACAGGCATGAGCCACCACACCCAGCCAAGTCCCTATAATTTGTAATAAGCTTTCCATTAACATTTAGATTCCCCAAATAATTTATCCATATTTTCTACCTTTCTAAACAAAAACAAATTTCTCCCACACATACAAAAGTATATGGGGATCTGAATTTTTTTTAACTGAAGTACATATGTAGGAATTTATATAGGACCTAGAATATTTGTATTGGATTTGGTCAAGATTATCTTTTTAAACCTATTTTTTAGGTAAAGGAACAAACAGCGTTCTGCTAATAATAGAGGTGAATCTCAAACTTAGCTCTGTATCTCATTAATGTTTCCCAGAGGTACTAGATATTAATAAAGATAGAGTTTCTCATTTAATACAAATAAAATTATTAATCTTGAAATTAGGAGAGTAATAGTATTCTAATTCATGAATCTTTCATTGATCAGTCCTCCTTGGCCTTCTTTTTAAAAATACATGAAGGCCTGGGTGCAGTGGCTCATGTGTGTAATCCCAGCACTTTGGGAGGCCAAGGGAGAAGGATCACTTTGAGTTCAGGAGTTCCAGAATAGCCTGGGCAACATAGCAAGATCTCATTTCTACTAAAAATAAAAAAATTAGCTGGACATGGGGGCACATACATACAGTCCCAGCTACTTGGGAGGCGGAGGCAGGGGGGATCACTTAAGCCCAGGAGTTTGAGGCTCCAGTGAGCTATGATTGCATCATTGCACTCCAGCCTGGGTGATAGAGCAAGACCCTGTTCCCCCTCAAAATAAATAAAAAGTAAAGAAATATAAAATATTTGTGAAAGAAATTTTATTTTGCTATAAAATTATAAATTTGCCACTATAAGAAATAAAGTAATTTCTTCGGTTTGGCCTCTCCACATTCGAAACACCTTTTTTAAAAAAAAAAAAAAAAACCCTATGAATTTTTCCCCATGCATTTTGACCCGTGGCATTATCTCCTAAGTATATATTTGGTAATTGGATTTCATTAATACCCTTGTAAGTAAGTTTAAAATGTGCTGTGCTTCATTATTACCACTTCGCCTTTTTAAAAATCATTTGAGATTTTCTTTCCTCTTCTTTCCTTCCTCAAAACAATAAACCTGGAATGAGGTAGACGTAATTGATAATGGACAGGGGTTGCTGTTCTGTTTTTTCTTCTACCTCAACCCCTTCCTACAGTTAGTCTCTGTAATTCCACCACTGGTGATTTTTTTTTTTCAAAGACATGTAAATCTATTTAGAATTAATTGTCAGGTTGAGTTCAACTTCTGTCCTTTTCTATTGCTTTTTTTTTTTTATTTTTACTTTTTTCTACTGCTTTTATATCTACACTGTGCACCAGTGTTTTTAGACTCCAGGTCATGGCCTGGAGTCACAAAATTACTTTAGTGCGTTGCCCAACTTCATTTTAAAAAATAAAACAGGCCGGGCACAGTGGCTCACACCTATAATCCCAGCACTTTGGGAGGCTTAGGTGGGCGGATCACCTGAGGTCAGGAGTTCAAGACCAGCCTGGCCAACATGGGGAAATCCATCTCTACTAAAAATACAAAAATTAACTGGGCATGGTAGCACATGCCTGTAATCCCAGCTGCTTGGGAGGCTGAGGCGGGAGAATCACTTGAACCTGGGAGTGGTGGTTGCAGTGAGCTGAGATTGCACCACTGCACTCCAGCCTGGGCAACAGAGCAAGACTCTGTCTCAAAATAAATAAATATATAAATAAAAAACAGAATAGAAAATGCCAGTGTGCTACATATAATAAGGACAGGTTTGTTAGGAAACTTTGCTTCATTTGACTATGTGTGCAGTATTTTAGGGTATAATGTAAAAATGTGTTGAAAATTTATTCTTACTATGAGTTGGGGTTTTAAAAAATGTTGGAAAGCCACAGGGTCATAGCATTATTAGGTTTGTACCATGGTTACACTTAGTTAATCATGGGTTAAACCCATCACTGTAAACATTTTAACTGAAAACCACGTAAGTTAGTCCTAAATATCTTGTCATTTTTGGATTAACAAGTCTGTAAAATAAACTTGGAAAAAAGAAAAGAATTCTTGTTTTGGATGTTCTCTTTTCTCCCTTTACCCCTTCCCTTTTCTCCTTTTTTACCTGTGATGCCTTCTCCATATTTGGACCTTTGTATTGCCTTTTACTGCATGAGGCTGGTGTCCTGGCAAATAGCTTTTCAACCAGACAGTTGAAAAGGTTTGTAAACCCCATTATATAGTAGTACAAACTACTATAATTTATTTCAACATGCTTCTAATTTGATTAATTAGAATTAAAATAACTTCATTTGGAAGCTGATTTTGCCTTGGACATAGATGAAGATGAAGATAAGATTTATTAAAATTGAATGGATTACACCCCTCAATTTATACATTTGCTCTTAAGATTTCCAAGAATCATTGTGTTCTCCACCCTTCTCACCACCAAGGACATCACAGGGCATCACACTTTTTTTATTTTCCATTTTACTAGCAAATAATTAAAACTTTTTATTCAGATTTATAATTAGGGATGATGTTTAATTTCATCTAGTTTTTATATACTAGTTGAATACCCATTTATTCAAAACATGTGTAAAAGTTATGTAATAGCGACCTCTACTGGTTTTAGTTATGGTATCCTGCAAGTGAATTTTTAAAAGTTTTGAGAGGATGAAAGCGCCTTTTTGAAGTGAATTAGTTTAATAAGGAAGGAAATTCAACTGTGATAGTAACCTGAGTTCTTTCACTCTCAGTGGAAATTTTAACTAAAGAATTTCTGGAAATTAAATTGAAGTATTTTGTTAAAAATGAATGACTATGGGAGGACTTTAAAGAAATTACAGTGTATTAAAATTGCTGTCACCAATGCAAACTGTTGCTTTCCATGATTTGTAAATAGTTCTGAAGTGCCTTTGCATGGTGGATAAAGAATATTCATAGAGGTTTCCAATTGAAAAATGCTGCATGTAATTAGTACTGAAAGTAAGGACGAGTGAGAACTGGATTTAGATATTTACTTCTTGATCTTAGGTGTTGTTCCTTGAAATTTTAGACAAGTACTATTTAAGGTAGCTTCTACTCATTCTTGTAATTAGCTTTATCACAGTGAAGTTGAAATTCAGGATGTGATATTTCCCCTAGATAATAGAAAGAATGTTTAGTCTCTTATTGCCTAATTAAGGAACTAATACATTGACAATTACTGTTTTCTCTTAGCTTCAATATGTTTATAATGTAAATTATACCACATGTGAAAAGCTCTACTTTTGGTATTCTTTGATTTTAAAAGTAAATTTTAAGTGAAGAGCACTATTTAATATATTTGCTTAGTTGTTGTTTTCCTATTTTCCAAGGAACGTGTTCAAAAAAGTTTCCCTCATCCAATTGATAAGTGGGCAATAGCTGATGCCCAATCAGCTATTGAAAAGAGGAAGCGAAGAAACCCTTTATCTCTCCCAGTAGAAAAAATCCATCCTTTATTAAAGGTAATGCTGAAATACTGCCTTCTTGCCTTTTAAGGGAAAAATAAAACCCACCATTTTTATACAATAAGAATATATTTTATGGATAATTGAGTCAACTTAAGAGTAAAATTCTCTCATTCTAAGTTTTCCAGAGATTTATGTGGTGGGAGGGGATGCTATGATAATAAGAAAATATAAACTGGGCAACATGATTTAAAGTAATTTCATATCAAGAGTAATAAGCAAGTTGAGAGGACTAAGAAAGTTATTGTGGATTTTGTTTATCTCAGATGTAATTAGGACCACAAAGAGAATTTATAAAACTCCTCTTCTTGGTTAGACCTGTGTTCCTATAAATCCTTTTGATGTTAATACTTTGTGTAGAGACCTCTGTGAAAAGGCCATAAGGCTATGTGTAATCTCTGAACAAAAAGATCACCTAAACTCTCCAGTCCTATTTACCAAGTAAATAAATAAGTCAGTTGAATCTCTATGGAACTAATAGAAAAATTGCTGGAAGCTCGAATAATGTTATTTCTATTTTAGTTAATATAATGAACTACTATTATCTCTCACAACAAAAATATAGGTATTATAATAAGTGAAAACTTAAATGCCAGCGATTTTGTACATACTATAATATGGACAAAATGTTAATACTTGTATACATTGAGTTTTATTACTCAACAAAGTTGTTATTATCCATAATTTGTAAATGAAGTGACAGAGGCAGAAAGTGATTAAGTAACTTCTAGGCCAAGTTCACAAGACTCTTAGTGATAGTGTCAGAAAGTTCAGGTTTGCTTGATGTTTTCCAAAATTTAAAGTTAAACACTTGAATGAGTTTAAGATTGTATTTTGCATTCAATTGTTTGAATAGAAATATCTGCCTTATGGAAAACTACTTCATCATTCTCTTCATGATTTTCATTGGCCATACATTGAATTGTATTCTAAGAGAATTAAATTGAGGTATATAAATACTATGTTAATAATCCTAGATTTTGAGTTTTATGTGCTAATTGTGAATATCATTTCAATTTAATACACCTTTATCATGATACACTTCATAGTTTTTATATACCCAAAAGGTAAATGCAGCCTGTCTCCAGTTTGTAACAAACTTCTTATTTCAAAGTTGTTGTTTTTTTCCCTTAAATGAGTTGTTTGGAAAATAGATTTTGTTACTCTGTATGAACAGACCAGTCCCACAAAAGCCCATATTCTCTTTGAAGAGAATACTAGGGCTATTTAACATTTTCTTAACAGCAGCCATTATTCAGTAGTACATAACATGAATTTTGTTTTCATAGAAATTGCCAGGGTTATACCAGGAATGTGCCCACTATAGTTTGGGGGAGCCCATCTTCCCTTGGTAAAGATAAAAGTATAAGCCTAGTAGAGATTCCTAGATACCAATAATATATTAACTCTCATTTTTTGTAAAAGAAAAAACTTGTTTGTTGTAGTTACTTCCAGGTATTCCGAATTAGGTAACAAAGAGCATTTACTCCCTTCTCCAAACTTGGGTCTTCCTTTATAGGTTAGGGATTATCTATTTGTAATCTCTGCTGCTTAAGTATTTTACATCATTAGAGGTAATTTTGCCTTGCCTTGTCTTAGCTTACATTTTCAATAGTAATACATATATTATTCATTGCTGAACCACTTAAAATTAAATATTGTTGGTAAGCACAGGCCTCAGGAAAAAAGTGTAAGCTAAGTTGCAAATATGTCTTTTATTTTTAATCAGTGTGTTAAATTTACAGTATATGATGTTTAAACATACTTTTCTTTTAATTTTGCAGGAGGTCCTAGGTTATAAAATTGACCATCAGGTTTCTGTTTACATAGTAGCAGTCTTAGAATACATTTCTGCAGACATTTTAAAGCTGGTTGGGAATTATGTAAGAAATATACGGCATTATGAAATTACAAAACAAGATATTAAAGTGGCAATGTGTGCCGACAAGGTAGGAAACTGAGCTTTTATATTTTTTTTTTAAGTTTCTTTTTATGACTTATTAAATGCTAACATACTATTCATGTAGAATAAAATTGTACTACATGTTGGGGAATATCTCCAGTAACCTAATAGCAGGGATTCAAGATACCACTTTATAGAAATAAGATATTAGATATATGATATTAAAATGTGTTTAAATATGTCATGCAGTTTTTTTCTTCTGTGCTGTTGCAACTAGGGTTAATTAGAGTAATCTCTTAATAGTTAATTTCTTTTTTCTTTTCTTTTTTTTGAGACGGAATCTCGCTCTGTCGCCCAGGCTGGAGTGCAGTGGCACAATCTTGGCTCACTGCAACCTCCGCCTTCTGAATTCAGGCGATTCTCCTGCCTCAGCCTCCTGAGTAGCTGGGATTACAGGCACATGCCACCATGGCCGACTTATTTTTTTTTGTTTTTAGTAGAGACAGGGTTTCACCATGTTTGTCAGGCTGATCTCAAACTCCTGACTGCCTCAGCCTCCCAAAGTGCTGGAATTACAGGCGTGAGCCACCGTGCCTGGCTAATAGTAAATTTCTTAAAATTTATTTGGGTTGAAAGATTTATAAGGTTATGGATTTACTTAAAAACAGTTTTTCAAAATGTAAAACCTCAAAATGATAGTTTTACTTTGGCACCTAGCTTTCTTCAGATACTACTTTGTGGTTTTACAATAATAATAATAAGAGTAAACACTTATTGAAGGTTAGGCATATATGTGGCGTATCTCTGTTGTCCTTTTGATATTCCTCTGAGGTGAGTGATCTTATCTACATTTTATAAAAAGGAGACTGAAATTCACAGGGATAAAAAAATTCGTCCAGAATTTTCTGAGAAGTTTCAAAGCCTAGACTTGAACTCCAGGTCTCTCTGAGTCTAAAGCTTTTCGTCATTACCTAAGGATGTTCATTTTATGGAAACAACTTTGCAGAAAGGAAAATATTTTCTGTTGAAGCATTTCATTCCATTTTCCTCATTATACTCTTACTGATTTGGAATATTATTTCTGATTACTGATTCCACTAAATTATGTTTTAGTATTTATTTGTTCTTTGGGAATGTGGCCATATAGAGTGAAAAAACCCACCTGATTTGAAGAAGAATTTCAAATGTTTGGGTATTTTTAAATGAATAAGTATTTAGTTTTAAAAAATTATTATCTAGACACGAATATGAAATACTTGATGCTTTTTAATGAAGACAGATAAATAAAATATTTTTGAATACATACTACATGTTAACACAGGGAGGAGATGCAAGAGAAGTATATATAAAACAAGGCTTCAGAGTTGATGAAGTTATATACATGAAACAATCAGAAAGCACGCAAGATAAAATATTTTATTGTGTTATAGAGATATGATGCTGTAGAAGTTCGCAAGAAGGGGAAAGATGTGTTCTAGCAAGATTAGTAACAGTAGACTTCTTGCAGAAAATAAAAGCTTATTTTGACCAATTCCCAACAAATGTAGGAAAATAGGCCAAATAGAAGGCTATAAAAATTATTTAAATATGAGATACTGAGGCCATGGAATAAAGTGATGATGACAGGGTATAAAACAGAGAAAACCAAGTCAGAGAAATTAAAGACAGGATCTGGAAACACATTGGAAGTAATAGGTTAACAAGAGAGACAGACAGATGAATACTAGTAGTGATAGAGAACTTGGAGGAGTGTAGTAAGTGATTTCAGATGTTGAATTCTGTTTTGGAGAAGCTGTGGAGAAATGCTGGCAATATATCCAAGAGGAGAAATTTGCTTGTTTGCTTTTTTTATCATTTAAGAACTTTATTCAGAGAACTTAAAGCATTTCACGTCAAATTTGACGAAAGCTTCATATTTTATTTTTTTTATATCTCTGACTATATAGGTATTGATGGATATGTTTCATCAAGATGTAGAAGATATTAATATATTATCTTTAACTGATGAAGAGCCTTCCACCTCAGGAGAACAAACTTACTATGATTTGGTAAAAGCATTTATGGCAGAAATTCGACAATATATAAGGGAACTAAATCTAATTATAAAAGTTTTTAGAGAGCCCTTTGTCTCCAATTCAAAATTGTTTTCAGCTAATGTAAGTATCATTGTATATATGCCTGTCATTGGATGTGTTGTGAAATTTGCATGACCACTTCAAATTTGAAGTTGTATAGTTCATGATTACTAATTTGTTAATTTTTTTAAGTTGTGGGACTTAATTCATGATCACAGAGTGCTATAACAGTTTCAAGAGATTTAACATCAGAAATTAAGAGACAAAATACAAAGTAGACTGATTATATAAGTGAAAATGAATTCACAGAATTGTCCATGTACTCCAAAGGATAAAGCTTCTTGTTTAGGTGGAAGATATTTTTGTTTGAGTCATTTGAATCATTCAGCCTACACTTCATCAATGCCAACTGTATTGTCAGGTACCATGCTTGGCAGCAGGGATTCAAAGATGAATGAGAAACAGTTCTGCTGGGCGTGGTGGTTCACGCCTCTAATCCCAGCACTTTGGGAGGCCAAGGTGGGCGGATCACGAAGTCAGGAGATCGAGACCATCCTGGCTAACATGGTGAAACCCCATCTCTACTAAAAATACAAAAAATTAGCCGGGCGTGGTGGTGGGCGCCTGTAATCCCAGCTACTCGGGAGACTGAGGCAGGAGAATGGCATGAACCCTGGAGGCGGAGCTTGCAATGAGCTGAGATGGCGCCACTGCACTCCAACCTGGTCAACAGAGCGAGACTCCGTCTCAAAAAAAAAAAAAGAAAAGAAAAGAAGCAGTTCCTTTCCTTAAGTTTAGTCAAGACAGAGATATAAACTATACATTGCAATAAAATGTGGTAATTACCCTATTACCTCAGTATATTGGGAGTATGACAGCAGTAGTATTGGGAGCACAAAGGAAGGGGCTAGTAACATTGACACTTAGACAAAGGATTACTGATCTTACTATAGTAATCAAACTAACCTAACTGGGTCCTGAAGAAATGCTGAGTGAGAACAGGTGAGATTGTCATAGGAGCTACACACTGGTAATTCCTGGAACTGTAGCCACACAGTCGTAAATGACTGATAGAGAAGCAGTGCTCACTACAGAGGCTGGGACTGGGCTCGAGCTGTGGCAATGAGTGAACAGTAAAAAATAAAGCAGTAGATTGTCGTGATGGTTGTACAAATCTGTAAATATATTAAAGACTATTAAATCACTCACTTTAAATGGATACATTGTATGGTTTCTAAATAATGTTTCAATAAAGTTGCTTAACAAAAAGAGTAAAGAAGAGGCAAAGGTTTCTGAGGACACAAAAATCAAGAACCAAAATGGCCAAAAAGCACATCAAAAGGTGTTTCAACATCACTAATCATTAGAGAAATGTAAATTAAAACCATGACATACTACTACATTCTCATTAGAAAGGCTGAAATGTAAATGACTTACAATACCAAAAGTTGAAATGGGTATGGAGCAACTGCTTGTGGGAATATAAAATTCCCACATTACTTGAGAATGTAAACTGGCATAGTTTGGAAAACAGTTTGGCAGTTCTCTCTCTCTTTTTTCTTGAGATGTAGTCTCGCTCTGTTGCCCAGGCTGGAGTGCAGGGGTGCGATCTTGGCTCACTGTAACCTCTGCCTCCTGGGTTCAATCCATTCTCCTGCCTCAGCCTCCCGTGTAGCTGGGATTACAGGTGTGTGCCACCACACCTGACTAATTTTTTTTAGTAGAGGCAGGGTTTTACCATGTTGGCCAGGCTGGTCTCAAACTGACCTTAAGTGATCCACCAGCCTCGGCCTCCCAAAATGCTGGGATTACAGGCATGAGCCACCATGCCTGGCTAGTTTGGCAGTTCTCTATAACAATAAACATAAACTAACCATATTGCCCAGCAATTCTACTCCTAGGTTTTTAACCAGAAGAAATGAAAACATGTCCATGCAAAACTGCTTCATGAATGTTCAAAGCAGCTTTATTTGTAATAGCCCCAAACTGGAAACAACTCAAATGTCCATCAGCAGGTGAATGTATAAACAAACTGTGGTATGACCATACAGTAGAATGTTACTGAGGAATAAAAAAAAATGAAATAGTTATGCATGCAACAGCATGGGTGCATCTCAAAAATATAAGCAAAAAAATAGGGCACAAAAGACAATATATGATTCCGTTTATTTAATATTCTAGAAAAGACATTTCTATAGAGACAAAAAGGAGATCACAGATTTCCTGGGAGTGAGGCCTAGTAAGGGTTGATGGAAATGGGGCACATCTTAAGAAGTTAAGATGATGAAAAGGTTCTGTATCTTGATTGTGCTGGTGGTTAGAAGGGTGAATAACTACACAAAATCTCACCACAAGAACATTTAAAATAGGAGTTTCTTATATAAACCATGCCTCAAAGTCGACTTGATAAATATAGTCACTGATAAAAAAAGAAATCAAATAATAGTAACCAATTTTAATTTAAAGTACAAAATGGATATGGTTTCAGATTCTATGTTGCAACTAACCCTTAAGAAATTATCATTTGTTGAATTTTAGTAAAGAACCATAAAAGGATAGTCACTCTATTTATACGGAAAGTCCAGAATAGGCAAATCCATAGAGACAAAGTAGATTAGTGGTTGCCAGGCACTGGGGAGAGGGAAGGAGTGGAGAGTGACTGTACGGGATATTTAGCTATCCACCTTCCAAAAAAATCATAGGGTTTCTTCTCATGGTAATGAAATGTTCTAGAATTTGATACTGGTAATGACTGCACAACCAATATTGAAACCATTGACTAGTAACTACACTTTTAACGAGTGAATTTTATGGTATATGAGTTTTATCTCAATAGAAAAATTACACAGAAAAGCTATATTTTTCATATACTTCGAAATAATGTATCACAACAGATTGTATGCAGAAATAGATATGAAAATCCTGCCGTCTTCTAGTACACTATGTTAAGAGATTTGCAAATGTAAAACATTGCCATTTTTCTGCTGAATGTTTTTTGTTGTGGTTTAAAAAAAAATTTGGCTACTTTTTATAAAAGTGCTATTTTTGTTAACACATAATGGGTTTATTATTTTTAATGAATCAAATATTTTTTTTAAATTTTGGTTTTAACTTCCAATATGGTAAACATTGAAATACATAGTTATAAACAAAAGGTTTTTAGAATCTTCAATAATTTTTAAGAGTGTGAAGGAGTCCTGAGACCAGAAAGTTACAAGACCACTGACCTAGAGAAATGTATTTGCAAGTTGTACATCTTTGCAGAAGGAATTCTTGAATTGTCTTTTATTCATATTTGTAAGTCATTAACATTTTTCACTGTATCTGCCATGTTAAATTTTGTGATTATAAAATGACTTATTGGCTCAAAATTTGTTTAATATTATAATAATACAGCCTCACTGAATTTATGTGTTTTCCCCCAAACAGGATGTAGAAAATATATTTAGTCGTATAGTAGATATACATGAGCTTAGTGTAAAGTTACTGGGCCATATAGAAGATACAGTAGAAATGACAGATGAAGGCAGTCCCCATCCACTAGTAGGAAGCTGCTTTGAAGACTTAGCAGAGGTAAGTACTTCAATTATATACCCAAAAAGTCTACATAAAAGCCTACATTTACGTTAAAATTGAGAGTCTTATTTCTTTCCAGCTAAAGTCATAGATATGAATTGTTCACTACTTATCTGTTATTGCTCCTTTTCCGTAGGGTCATTGTCAACATATGTTTCTGTTATCTTACCAAACAGAAAAAGTGGTCTCTTGTTAATTATAGAAAAGCAGATACCACCAAGGGGAGGTATGACAGCTGTCACCCAATGGCCTACTATAAAAGGTTAAGAAAAGTCAATGAATGACTATTAAGGAAGAGACCACAGAACTTGCACCTGAAGTCAGATTACTTGTGTTCCAGTCTAAGCTCTGCTGCTTATTAGTTGTGTGACCAGTGGCAAGTTATTTCATTTCTTTAAACCTCCATATCTTTATTTGTGAAATAAGAATGATAATACAGGTTGAGTATTCCTAATCCAAAAATCCCAAATCTGAAATGCTTCAAAATCTGAAACTATTCCAACATGATGCTCCAAGGAAATGCTCATTGGAGCATTTCAGATTTGGGATTTTCAGACTCGGGATGCTGAAGCAGTAGGTATAATACAAATAATCAAAAATCTGAAATCTTAAACACTTCATTTTGGGTAAGAGATACTCGATCTGTAATACCAGGATTTTCATGAAAAATTAAATAACCTATCTGAAGTATTTACCTGTCTACCTTCACATAGTAAGCTTACTCAGTGTGTGATAACTACATTATTATTTAGAATAGGAATGAAGTAAATAGGACAATAAGGTCCAGGATCTGGATGATTGAGATACCATGAGATAGAAAGATATTAACTACTCCTCAGATATTTCAAATTAACTCCTCAGATATTTCAAATGCTAAAATACATGAGTCAGTCCTAATAAGTTAGCATTAAGAGTCGTTCTGAGGTTTCTAGCGTTTGCTGTGTTCTCATTCTAAAATCTCACTCACTCATTATGATACAGCATTGAGCTTGTAATATGTATTTTTTTAATTAAGACTTTCAGGCAAAATAGAATGGTAAGTTCAAGCATCACCATAGCCCCTTCATTCCTGCTCCAAACACACATAAGTAATAAGGTATAAAAAGAAAAATGTGGAATATATATACTAGACTTGAAAACAAGATCAGGAATGGAATAGACATTCAAGGTAGTGAGCTCTGGTATCTGGGTGTTTAGGCTCTTAAGGACAGTGAATTGTTTCAAATGTGTTCCATGAAAGCCAGAGCAAGACTTCTTGCTCAAGTCCCTCCTTATAATAGGATGCTAGGAAAATCTGCCAACCTGGTATCTACAGTAAAGTTTTCTAAAAAGTTGTGGACTTGATGTGGGGAGACAAAAATGTTGCCTTACAATAATAACAAAGTTTCCTACAGCATTAAGCTAATATGAAGCCTGAACCCCAAAGTCATTTTAAGAGTAGGTTCTGGTTTGGAAGAGTGATCATAAAGGAATGGGAGAAAAAAAGGAAACAAAACATTAAGTCTCCCACCAAGAAGCATATAATACAAAATTCCAAAAAACAAGGCAAATTCTAATTCTGAGAATGATAATTAATAAAATCAACAATTACAACATGAATTTATTCCAGATGAAATTGATTTTGTATAATAGACATACAAAAAGTTTAAAGAAGTTTAGGATGCTGAAAGAGCTAAGTGAAGGAATATGATCCATTTATAAAGAAGATATTGTGAAACAAAAATAGGTGGAAAGGAAATGAGCAGATTTCTAGATATCAAAAGACAGAGATTTTGAGAATTAAATATATTATACAAGCATTGAAATAACTTATATAGTACAACATTTGCTGGACCCAGTTCAAAGATAAAATTAGTAAATTGGAAGATGGAATTGAGGACTTCACTGAGAATGTGACACACAGACGAAGATAAGAAATATGAAAGACCAATTGAAAGTAATAAGCATAGCCGGGCACTGTGGCTCACGCCTGTAATCCCAGCACTTTGGGAGGCTGAGGCAGGCAGATCACCTGAGGTCAGGAGTTCAAGACCAGCCTGGCCAATATGGTGAAACCCCCTCTCTACTAAATATACAAAAATTAGCCGGGCGTGGTGGTGCATGTCTATAATCCCAGCTACTTGGGACGCTGAGGCAGGAGAATTGCTTGAACCCAGGAGGTGGAGGTTGCAGTGAGCCGAGATCGCACCACTGCACTCCAGTGACAGAGCAAGACTCTATGTCAAAAAAAAGTAATAAGGATAAGCTGAGAGGCTTAGTATACATCTAATAGGAGTTCCAGACAAAGAGTGATGGAGAAACAATATTTGAAAACATAAAAATGGGTAATTTTCAAGAATGAGGACATTAGTTCCCACATCAAAAATGAATTCCAAATATTGTTCATGATAAATAAAAATAAACACACAGCTGAAAACATGGCAGTGAAACTACAGAACATCAAAGATAAAGAGAAAATCTTGGGTTGGGCGCAGTGGCTGATGCCTGTAATCCCAGCACTTTGGGAGACTGAGGCAGATGGATTGCTTGAAGTCAAGAGTTCGAGACCAGCCTGGCCAACATGGTGAAACACTATCTCTACTAAAAAATACAAAAATTAGCCAGGCGTGGTGGCGGGAGCCTGTAATCCCAGCTACTCAGGAGGCTGAGACACGAGGATTGCTTGAATCTGGGAGGCAGAGGTTGCAGTGAGCTGAGTTTGCGCCACTGTACTCCAGACTGGGTGGTTTCACCAGACTGGGTGACAGAGCAAGACTTGGTCTTAAGGGAAAAAAAGAGAAAATCTTAAAAGCTGTTAAGACACGGGAGACTGAGGCAGGAGGATGGCGTGAACCCAGGAGGCAGAGCTTGCAGTGAGCTGAGATTGCGCCACTGCACTCCAGCCTGGGCGACAGAGCAAGATTCTGTCTCAAAAAAAACAAAAACAAAAACAAAACAAAACAAAAAAAAACCTGTTAAGCTGTTAAAACAGAAAAGAAAATATTTTGCGAAGGAACTATAATTAGAATGGCAGCAGGGTTCTCTTTAACAACAGAGGTTAACAGTCAGTTGAGTAATATCTTTAAAGTACTAAGGTAAAATAGGATTTTCTATCTAACTACAGTATTATTCAAGAATGAGGACAAATTTTTAAATAATAATGTTTGTAGAAGAAAACGTAAGTGTTCTTCATGACCTTGGAATATACAAAGATTTCTTAAACAGGACACAAAAGCACTAACCATGAAAGAAAAAAATTGATAAACTGTACTTCATTAGATGTAAGAATATCCATTCATCAAAAGACAAAATTAATAGAATGAAAAGGCAAGCTATAGACTGGAAGATAATATTTGTAATATACGTAGTAAATGAAAGACTCATATCTGGGATATATTAAGGACTCCTGGCTGGGCACAGTAGCTCATACCTATAATCCCAGCACTTCGGGAGGCCGAGGCCAGTGGATCACTTGAGGTCCGGAGTTTGAGACGAGCCTGGCCAACATGGTGAAACCCCGTCTCTACTAAAAATACAAAATTAGGCAGGCATAGTGGTGCATGTCTGTAATCCCAGTTACTTGGGAGTCTGAGGCAGGAGAATTGCTTGAACTCAGGAAGTAGAGGTTGCATTGAGCCAAGATCACACCACTGTACTCCAGCCTGGGCGACAGAGCGAGACTCTGAAAAAAACCAAAAAAACCCCAAAACAAAATAACTCCTACATGCCTACAAATCAGTAACTAAAACTTCAGGGGTTTTTTGTTTTGTTTTGTTTTTAGAAAATAGGCAAAAGACTTGAGTAGGTACTTCACACACAAAAAAAGATGCTGAACATTGTTATTCATCAAGGAAATGAATTTTGAAACCATGGAGTAGTTGGAAGTCTACTTGCTGGTTGGGGCTAGGGTGTAATTTGGTACAGCCACTTTGGAAAACTGTTTGGCATATCTACTAGAGCTAAGCATACAATGTACCCTATGACCCAGCATTTTAACTCTTGGGCATATATCAAACAAAAATGAGTGCTTATGTTGACTGAAAGACATTTAAGAATGTTCGTGGTAGGTTTATTCATAATGGATAATTAGTGGTATATTCACACAAGAAAATGCTATCTGGCAATAAAAAAAAATAACTGCTGATAAAAGCAACAACATAATATTGAGTATAATAAGACTCAAAGTACATACTATATTGATATATAGGAAGTTCAGAAACATGTATCTTTGGAAACAGATTATTAGAATAGTGGTTGACTGGGAAACATGACGGAGATTTCTGAGGTGCTAGAAATGTTCTATTTCTTTATCTGGGTGGTGGTCACAGAAATGCATTGTATACAATAAAAAGTCATCAAATTAAAGACTTTATGTAAAGTTATTCCTGAATTTATCAAAAATGAGGAAAAGGTGAGGAATAAATAAAAACCATTTCAAACATACAACGGCCAAGAGCGTTTACTACTTGTAGACACTCATTATAAGATGCATTGGATGGCGTTCTTTAGCAAGAAGGAAAGTTTTACTCAAAGGGAAGTCAAGAAATACAAGAACTGATGATGAAAAAGAAATTGGTAGGCGTAGGCCGGTGGCTTGCACCTGTAATCCCAGCACTTTAGGAGGCCAAGGTGGGCAGATCACTTGAGCTCAGGAGTTCAAGACCAGCCTGGGCAATATGGCGAAACCCTGTCTCTACAAAAAATACCAAAATTACCCAGGTGTGGTGGTGCGCACCTGTAGTCCCAGCTACTCTGGAGACTGAGGTAGGAGGATCACTTGCACCCAGGAGGCTGAGGTTTCAGTGAGCCAAAATCATGCCACTGTGCTCCAGCCTGGGTGACAGACTGAGACACTGTCTCTAAATAAATAAATAGAAAATGTGTTGATAAATTTAATGAATTGCTGAATAGTTTTAAAAATATTTTTAAAGTTTTTTGTCTTGGAAAGACTAAACTATATTTCTGTGTATTAGTGACAAAGTATACAGTATGTAAAGTGGACTTGTGTTTGTGATAGA